TTAATAGCGAAAGGGAAAGCTTGGGCACCATCGTCTATTGCAATCACAAAGGAATGTGCCGTAGCACCGTGTTCACCCACTTCACCAATGGGATTTGCTGCAGCTGCTCCTAGCTCGTCCGCTCCTGCATCTTCTGGGTTTGCAACAGCTCCACGGTCATCGACAAAGTTGTACTTATCCTGATCATACTTGTCATCGTCAAAGATATCTACATATGTCTATGAAAAAGATTAGAAGGTAATCAGGAACTGCATGAGTTAAAAAATCTTGAACGAATGAATTTCAAAAATTCAACAAAGAAATTCCAAAAACAAGTCACTAAAAAGACAAAAAAAGAGCAGATCAGATATCGATCACAAAGACAAGAACCATGAGTACTTGCATGAATTGATAAGAATAAAAGTCAGGTAAAGTCTTCCTTTCTGTCAAAGTTTTCCAAAAGTGTTATTTTAAGATCTGTTCCGTTCTTTCTTGTGTGTAGACAACAATGGGAAAATAAGGATGATCCAGACTGACATAACGTAACCACACTTACATATGTTTAAAAGTAACATTGGTTCATGATGAAACTGAATTCACAAATTGTTAGCGGCTGGGTAGTTAATGCGTTTTGACATCACATTGACGTGAAAAGAAATTCGCAATTGACTTGTTAGGATACCAATTTCAATTGCTGAAGTATATCCTGAATTAGACGCTGTATGGCATACCTTTGTTTTAATATACGTATCCATTGTTTGGTAGAGCTTCACAAAGTGTGGCCGGCTGGCGCTTTCGTATTTCCAGCAGTTTAACATCACCGCGTATCTACAGAAAAACAGAGGGACATATGATCACAGTAATTCCGCGATAGGATACAACTAGTTACAAAAATACCTGAAATGCTAATTTTATCTCACTACATCGCAGCTCAAACGAATTCTGGGACGAAAAACCCACCGTATTCTTTACTTGACTCAACAACTTTTCATTTTAATTTGTGTATTGACAAGATAAAATTAATTTTTTAGGAAGGCTTCTTATTCAGACCGAGTGCATCAAAAACACCTGACCACAGCAGCAATCGATATTGCTCTTGACTTATATAACATTCCACACAGAGGAAGCAACACTTACAAACTGTCGTCGATATGTTCAGGCTTTGGCAGACGATAACCTTCTTCGATTTTTTTCATTGTCGTGGACTGAGACCATCCTTCGTAAGGAATGCCTCCTGTGGAAAAATAATGTTTTTTTTCTGTTCCCCTAAAAAGCACACTTTTTTGTTGTAATCACTTTCATTCCTCTCAGCGCGATCGAAATGATTCTTCTGTGAAAATGACAATTAATTACTGAAATTCATTTCGGTTTTACATCAGATGAAAGAGTACTGTAAAAAAAATAAATTTAAGTGTAGCGATTGTAAAATTCTTTTCAATAATGTACTAAATACTATCGGTTCTACTTAAACTTAAGTTTTATGTCAAGTTGTTATGCATCGTCATAATCTTATTTATCAGCGACTTTGAGTATTGCTTCAACTTCTCTATCGCACAATGCTCTTTTGTCCGCTCGGTCACCCATCAATTAGTAATTGTGCGTGAAATCTCGGCAGGTATATTTCCTGAATGTAAAGTAACAAATAAGTTAAGTACCGACAGTGAAGATTTCATACAGGACGATGCCGTAGGACCACCTGTCAAAGAAATAAAAGGATGATGATATATCTCAACAAGGGTAGAAAGATAATAATCACTCAGATACTTGGGATGTTTAAAAACATGCCATCAAGACGTAGGCAACCTCCTTAACAGAAAACGCCATATTTTTTTGTTTGATTATCCACTCATCCTTTCATCCGTCTGTTCTTATCCTAATCAGATTTTGGATATTGCTCGTTAAACTTAATATTCATGTAAAGTCTCCTACTACAGCTGTAACCTCAGCTGTTCCCCAGCTTGACGTTTCCTAATGACCCTCTAATCAATAGAGCACTGAATATTCTAGTTTTCCTCGCTAAGTTAAGGTAGAATCGTAAAAAATGTTCTCTCTTGGAATATATGTAGATATTAACCAATATAGTACGTACACATCGCTTTTGGTTGACAGCTGTTCCACATGTCCAAAGAGAATCTCGGGTGCAGTCCATTTGATTGGGATACAGCCCTGGATGAGTAACCAAAATACTATAAACATCTGAAATCTAAAGAGGCTTGTATACAACTTCTAAAATATTTTGCATATAAGATTAAAACTGTGATGTGAGGATTCATGAAAAATTCAAGAGCAGTAGACACCTCTGTACAAGTTCTGTATAAATAATTTACACACTCCTTTTCCTTTAAATCTCCTGTGTTTCTTTGCCTTTCGATTTTGTATCTTTGCTATTCAGAGAAGGATATCTCTTCCAGCTTTCTTATTTCCTGTGTTCACTCCCTTGGTACAATTTTTTTTCTGTGAAAGTTTCGATACGCTTAGAACGGCTTCCCATTGAAGGGAAATATGTTTGCAGTAAAACTGTATAACTGAAAAGAAAGGTTTGTGAGGACAGTAATATTTTAATTCTTCACATTTTTATCTTCCATACTAGCTGCCCCAAAACCAATTGACTCAATGATTAAAAATTTTCAAATTACCCTCTTGGCATTTCCTGGGCCGTATTTGAAATCCTGATAAGAGAGCCCAAAGTCAGTCAACTTGCAGACACGATGCTCGTCAAGAAGGATGTTACGAGCTGCAAGATCGCGATGAATTATCTGAAATCGAAAAAAAATGACATGACCTTGTAAAAGGGACTTTGATAAACGACATAGAATAAAGAAATAAAATATAGGTAGAAATTAAGTTTAACGTCATGGTCATGTAAGACCATTTCTCTGTGGAATAGTGATTCTAATGTGCTGGATCTTTTTAGCCGTATAGAGCATTCTACTCACGATTTGCAAGTCATGCCATTTTAACACATGCAGGACCACAACCCGGAAGAGTTCGAGCACTTACCCCTCTGGACGCGAGGAAAGTCATACCATGTGCGATCTGTTTAGCAAACAGCACCATGTCATACGTTGTCAAGTGGTCGACCCTTCCGACTCCATGATGATATTGGTCGAAAACACCCCTGGATTTTCTGAGATAGCCCAGCAAGTCACCTCGCCACAGGTACTCCATGATAAGTATTGGTTGAGCTAAGAGGGAAAAACAAGAAAATTATTATATGGCAAGCAGTGCAGAAATTGCAAAATGTGTTTGAATTGTACATGCTTTATCTACTTAAACATTTGGTTATATCTAAGAAAGAGAGGGAAAGTCAAAGAGGAAAAAACGCAGATAGAAAACGGATGGACGCATACAGCAGATACAGAAATACAGACAGACACACAGACAGATAAACAGACAGACAGATAAACAGAAAGGCAGAAAAATAGGGATGGCAGATAAATAGACAGAGACTTCCCATCGTAAGTTAAAACTATTATCACAATTAGCATGTAAATTTTAGAGCTTAAATCTTCCAAGTAAAATGGCCTACATACAGTGCGAAGTAAATTTCCTTAGATTAGACAAAAAATGGAAATAACCCTTGAATTAGTACACCATCTAAGCAATACTGGTTGACGTCGGATATGTTTTTATCGTTACTGTAAATTAGCTGATTATATTCATAACAATAGCTGATTACCTCCAACTGTAACACAACCAATGAACTTAACAACATTTTCATGGCCCTCCCTTCCAAAGAGTTTTAATAACTCGATCTCTCTCAGCAGGGCCTTCCTTCCTTTCTCTCCGGAGATTGCTGGGAAACCACACAAAAATTAGAGAAACAAACAAACTTTGCACGTCAAGAGAGACACAATTATGTGGTAAACATTTTTGTATACTTAGTGCTATATTACCAGCGCAACGTCTAATAAATTTGGTCTACATAAAAAAAAGTTAGTTTTCTAAACCCCATATAAT